GATTTCTTTTTTTTTTTACTTGTGGATTACCCACCCACGCAGCAAGTCGCATCCAAAATCATGAGTGGAGGAGGCGGCAGCGGGGCTAGTGCGCCTGTACATCAAATGGACGCCCGTCTCGCCTCGCTTAAGCTTTCCCGCATTGAGCCTCTGTCGCTTGCAAGCAGCGAGTACGGCGCTATTACCGATTACGCGCGCAACACAGAGGTGCGGAATAGCCTGTTTGCCATCGACATACAGAATGTCTTTCGCGTAGAGCGGTATGTGCGCCGATGCTGCCCGCTTTCCCTTTCTTCCTTACATGCGCAGCGAGGAAGAGACCCAGGCGTGGACGGCGGCTGGGCACCACCTGTTAAACGATGGGGAGCGGTTACTACTCTGGCATGGTTCGCGGTCCACCAATTTTGCAGGTATGGGTCTTTCCTACAAATGATTTGTTCCTGGTTTCGATTTATCCAAAGGGATCTTAAAAAACGGGCTACGCATTGCCCCGCCCGAAGGTGCTGCGCTATCCTACTGATAAATGAAGCTTCCTGTAACATCCGCGTTCTAGCTCCGTCAACAGGTTATATGTTCGGCCGCGGTGTTTATTTCGCGGATATGGTGTCCAAGGTATGAATTCCGTCGCCGCATCGGCTTTCTGTCCCTTCTTTCTGAATTGAATGCATGCCAGTCATTCAACTACTGTCACTCCGAGTGAGGCTCTTCTTCCTCGAGGTCCACGGAGCGCTGATACTACTATCAACAGCCTGAGTCATGACACCGGTCTCCTGCTCCTCTGTGAAGTCGCGGCAATGCCCTTCTTGGAACAGAAACACAGTGTCCGTACTCATATTTGTCTCAGACCTCCTTCGAATAATCTGAACTGGTTGCTTTCAGAACTACACTGCCGATGTCGCCTGCGCCGAGGCCGGGAAACGGTTGGCCTCTTCACCTCGCGTCCACAGGAGTAATGTAACCAACGCGTTGTAGATCGACCAAAGGTCTCGGACGTAGCGCTCCCGCGCGGTGGATCGACGCTGGAGAGGCGTTGAACGAGGAGCTTCGTGGGTGCATGATGCCTGCCGACTCAAGGCGACTGCGCACGGTGCAACCCGTACTGCATCATAACGAGGTGTGTGGCGACCTGGATCAATGATTGCGGGGAGAATTAACATTGAGACAGTATATTGTTTACAACCTGCACCAAATTCGACTGCGTTATGTTGTGATGGTGAAAAGTAGAACAAAAGTATAGAGAATTGATTTTCTGACCTGGGTTTTCGGTCAACACATATTCTTCCTCTTTCAGGGGATGTAGAAAGCCCACCGCTGAGATCTCGAGCGGGCCTATCAAACTTTACCTATGGGTTTCAGTGTCGCTGGATTCCCCGCCGTTTCCTATCTTCGTGCCAGGAATCAGCCACAACTCAAAGTCAATTAACCGCAGCATAATTCAAGCCAAAATGGTCGGTCCGCAAAAACGGTTTTAAACCATTTTTAAATGGTTTAGACAAGGTTCATTTAGGTTTAGTACCATTTAGGTTTAGTTTACTAAAATCTTTAGATGTAAACTAATGGTTGGAGCCTTATCTAAGGCTCAACGGTTCTGTTTTATAAACAGTTTTAAACAGTTAAAACCATTTTTATTTATCAGGGCAAACTATAATCAAACGGTTTTATACATGGTTTAAATGGTTTACCTCGCACACCACACCTGCAGCTGGTTGGTTCTTGAGCCAGTCAGCGATTATCATCTCTCAGGAAGCCTGAAAAACATAATTCCAGCCAACTGAAGAACTCTACCGTCATGTACTGATTCAGTTACAGAAAGTTAGGGTTACTTGGGGAAGGTGGTTGAACCATCACTGCCATTTGACGTGCTTCGGCAGGCAGCCGGAGAGGGCTCCGGTGTCCACGAGGATATCTTCGAGAGTGTTAGGTTTACCAAAACCTCTAGACTTGGAGTAAACGGTTGGATTATTAGGTGCAAATCACTCGCTTTGAGTTCAGCACCGTCGGAGTTCACATATTTTGAATGTTCTGTCGGTTACCGAGGCTACTTACGCCATCATCGAAGCCATTGTGGGGGCAGATTTTAAGGTCCTCCCATGCATGCTGCTTTGTAGTGTCCCTAGTCGCAGTGGACAACCCGGTCCGAAAAGTAAGGGCTCGCCATTCTCAATCGAGCCTGCTGTCGAACTCGGTCGTGCACGGGCCGAGAGAAGCTTAACAGCATGATCCTTCTATTTTAACCTTCTGATAGACGCCGAAGCTGACACCCTACTCTTCAGTGTCTTCACCGACCACCACCCCACCACATGGACACCGAAACTCACACAGAGAGTGAATTCCCCACCATGGACAACACCTTGTCTGCGTCGTATGCATTCCTCCTCCCTCACGCAATGCTTGAATCCTAACTTGTGGCACCGGGTTCAGTAACGATGGCACTTTCTTCGCGGGCTCGCAGAGGTTTACTATAAAGAACAGTATCTTCAACAATATTGCACATGTCACAGCTTCAACTGCACCTCCAGGTCAGGCCAACCAATACTTCTCCTGAGCAAACAATGTTAAATGACGCTAGATATCCATATGATCACGATGGGAGACATCGACCTGCGCAGGCAGTTGAATGTGGGGTTGGACTCGGACACCGGTGTTGTGCGTCGCGAACATCGACGCGGATGTGTTCGACGCGTCTATTCTGCGAAAATTGGGGATCGAAATACGAATATGACAGTGGTAATGTTTGAGGGGGACAGCGCAGAACAGGTGAAGTGTTTGAAATCCGATGGGTTTAAATATGTTACTGAAGCCTTGCAGGAGTGGCAGCAGGATATTGCTACATATTCGGGGCTTCGGCAAGCATGTTCATCCATGATGACAATGTCCCTGATGTTGACCCCCAGGCATCCGAACATTCTACAAATATATGGAGTAGCTAGCTCAGGCAGTATACACGCCGCAGTGTTCCACGGGGGTACGAATTCTCCGATTTGAAATCGAATGTCACTCCACTCAACCTCACAGTAGATCTCGTGCCACTGCACCAATTTTTGCATCTCCACAAACACTCACCCGTTCTGAAAGTGTATATTAGGGCCTCTACAGTATGGCCATTATGTTCTTCTGATCTTTGATGATCTTGATAATCTCTAGATGGAACAGTTCGGTGTAAGGAAATCTGCTTATATATTCCCCTCTTTTGAGCTGGTTACAGAGAGCAGATGACTATTTGACCTCGCATGGTCAGAGACTGGTACGTTCATGGAACCTCTCACCAGATTCCCCACTCAACACCCCAGATGTATGGCCAGTACAATGTTTGGATCAAGCCCTCCACTGGGACGATCTCCTTGGAGTTCACTACAGATTACTGGGAGGGCCGGTGGGGGTGGCCTGTCGATGCCATGGCGATCCAAAATCCAGCTTTTCTATTCAACGCACCAAACAGGGAGGCCATGGCCATCGATTGTATGTCACTGCACATGTATCACCAAATATGCCATTGGATCCTGTCCTATTCGGTTGATTCGAATTACCTCCCTACTTTCACATCGGTCACCCTTGGAGCAGTGGTCTCTTGGCCCCACTCACGTCAGCCTATGGCTGAGATAAATAGCTTTACTTTCGAGGTCCAGCGATGCAACTTCTCGGACGACTGCGTCGAACTAGCATCTGTGGAGCACATCAAGGTCGACATCTGCGGCTGGTTCGGTAGTGATGAGGAAGGGGTTGTCATGGCGAATGGTTGGACTCGGTTTTCCACCCGCTCTGTAATATCTTCCTATCCTAGAGCAGTTCACCTTACCCTTCGTGTCGGGGGCTCAGATATCTTTGGCTGGCTGAGTCAAGCAAACCACGTTCTCAAACGCCTGGAAATTGCAAGCAATTTCCACAATTATGGTAAGTTCTTCAACCAGGTTTGGTTTATTCTTCCACCGACGATCCTATTCAGTGTTCCTTGAGGCCATTTCTATCTACATGCGGATCCAGCCAATCACCGAGAACACTCCCATCGGATACCTCTTTCTCTGTCCAGCAAGCCACTTTCGAACAGGCCCAGCATCATTTACATGGCCAGATTGCCCCGCATATTGGTCATTAGACTTCTCTGGTATGGAGCGACTCAGTACGGAGGAGGCTAGATACTTCGGGTTCCCCTCTTTTGAGTCCAGTTCACAAGTTTCGGGCACCTTTTGGGAGGGGAGTACCTACGCTGGCCTCCGTCAGTTCCACGCTGGCAAAGGCTTTGATCCTGACAGCCAAGAGCTCGCACATCATCTCGAGTATCCTCTTTATCAATTATCAAGTGAAGTACCCACTCATGGTAAGTCACTCCACCGGCACCGTGGAACTTACTCAACCAGATACTCCAGTTGATGCCGAGGCAGAAGTCGCAGAATCTGCTGCCATGACACAATTGTCAGCCAGTGGTCAGCTTATTGTAATCTATTTGTTTTACCTTCGTTGTTCAACTGCGCCCAGACTTCTCCGCCACCTCGGCAACAAGTGCGCATGACTCCGAAGGCCGTATTCACGATAAAATGGCCCCGGTTTCTGGAATCTTCAAACTATTGATGAACTTTCAACTGGGGTTGATTTTATTTATTTTTGTTTACCAGGCTTGCGAGGCCATATTTTAAGGATGAATTTATGTAGCAAATGCAATGTGCCGTGCCAAATGATGGACGACTGTCTCACCCCAGCCGACTAGCCAGCTGTGAGAAGGGCAGCAAACCCGATGAGCTATCACTGTGTGATACACTCCCTCCGTGGCTGAAAAAGGCAAATACGCGCCATGGAGATGCATGGAAAAAGAAGCGGCAAAAACACACCGGAGCGGTACACACGACCTGACCTCAGATCAAACGAGGGTCTCGCATTTAAAGATTACCAAGGGTCGGTGACACTGAATTGCGCACACTACTGGTTGTGACACCAGGTCTACGACTACAAAGCCACGCCAATAGCTATGGTGTTCACAGAAACCAACATTGTCACAAAAATATGAAAGACCCAACCTTAAATTGAACATGGGGCGGGCAGTGAAGTTCTTATTCTCCACAATGGAATCTGCGAGTGTTACCACTACACTATCAGGCCGTGCTGATCAAAGTACGGTTGGGAAGTGATACGGGTAGAAGGAACTGGGGTACGGAATTCTGCCAAGCCACAGAACCATCTAACGAGAGCTCAGAGATTACATGCTCCTGAAAAACCTACTGCCTGTGGACTGTCAATGCAGCGGTCAAGCTCCGGACTGAACAGCGGTAACCTTCTCACGTGGCCACAAGGCCCCTTGAGCTGCTTGATGACCTCACCCTCAGGGCGGGCCTCTCGGCCATGGCAGCAAGGGTTGGGAAGCTCACACACACAGATATATATTCCACAAAAAAATGTTTATTCCACAAACGGAGAATTAAATATTCTCGTTTGTGGAATATCTTTATTTTGAAAAATAATGGTCCCATCACTTGAATATATATACTCACAAACGGAAATTATGCCCTACCATGAAGTCCCTATTGAACAATACAGTTTAGTAACTAGTTAGTGATCCGCTTGTCAATAAAGCAACACACTTGAGGGACAGGTCTGTCAAGCGAGGTACGAGCTAGGTATGATAGAGCGTCTGTCAAGAGAGACTAAGGGACAGGGCACCTGTCTCATCACTACGCTGAACTCACACACACGATGTAAGCCCGTCGGCTTCCTGTCGGCATGGTCCATTACATAATCAGTTTACTCTTGTCCTTACCCACGTACCTGGCTCGATTGTACTCCCGTATGTCGTCGTCCCTGAATCATACAGTGGTACTGTTGACTTCAGGTGTAATTTGTCGTCTAGTGTTTCCTGCTCGGCCAGCAGGTTTCCACACGATTAGCTTCGGTTATTGGAGTTTGTGAGATTAGTTAGATTTGGTTGGTTTTGGTTGGTGTGAGTTGAGTTGATAGCTCGCTGCGCTGATCTGACCGCCAGTCAATCAATTTCACGGCTGCACCCGACTGCACTGTTGATTTCACTCAAAGAGGGGCAGCAATAATTGCAAAGGAAAATAACCACGGACCACGCCGGACTTGAATTGTAAGCGCGGCGTACCAGTATTTGTTGGTGTCAGCAACAACAGCCTTCTCATCCACTTCGTGAGCGAAGAACGAGCAACAGCGGTGAGTTGAATGAGGTATCGTAAAAAATATGTTGAACCTCGGACAAAAAAGTTGTTTCATCGACAATTCCAAACTGCAATAACGTGGACAGTAGGGAAATTTGCCATCCTGCAGCACCCCATTTTCCTCATGGATTCCCCACGCTCCCACTCTAGTAGTCTACCGAGTTCAACTTCAACTTCAACTTCGACCAACGTCGGCGTCGGCAGGCGTCGGCCCTCAATCCCGCCCCACTACCATCGGCCGAAATCAATTCTCACACGTGCTCCATTGCTGCCGCAACAACGCCCGCGCTGCGCAGCTGCGAGACCTTCTGAGGCTTGCGCGCTGCGAGGCGGTAACGGGCCTCACCTCTACTTTACCCTCGACTACCCTCATTACTCCATTACACCTTCGATTCCGAGTCCCGACCCTTGGAAATCGAGCGCACGAAGGAATACAGCTTTGATTTGAAGGGTAGAAAGGAATTGCAGAGGATAGCGGCGCGCGACAGCGACCGCACCCAGGCGGACCAGATCGCGTTTCATATCTATACCAAGCTATTTCACGTGTTCTATGCTGCGCGCGGGTCGGAGCAGGGGTTTTGGGTGGAGGTGGAGGTGCGGTGGGGAAGGCGGATAAGTGGGTGCGTGCTCTCTCTCATACTATCTTCTTTATTCACTTTTTCTATCACAATTTACTGAACGATGTTGTAGTTCAGCTTCGAAACGCCCCTCGCCCCACCGCACGCCACGCCCGCGCTCGAGCTCGATCGCTACCGCGCCCCCTCTTCCCCACATCCTTCTTCCTCTTCGGCGGCGGCCAACGTGAAAATCGCTGGTAATCCAGGTGCTGCTGGTAGCCACCCCGCCGGGGGCCGGGACGGCGCGTGCACAAGGCGAGTGGGACGCGCGTGGAGCCGGAGCCACGGTATGTGTTGTTGGAGGAGTGGGTGTGGGGGTTCTCTACACGACATCCACTTCCAAGCAACTCCGATGCGTCTACGTCTGGGACATCAAGCAGCTCGTGGGACGCCGAAGACTCAACGGAAGTGCTCCCATCCACGACCTACAAGAACGCCATCTCTGCCGCGCCCTATTCGTGCTCCTCCGCATCCTCCCCGCGTGACGCGTCGTGCGCTGGGCGCAGGCCCACCGCTGCTGCTGCCTCGGGACTTGGTCGACTCGGTGATGCGGCGGGAAAGCGCGGGCTGCGCGTCGCAGTGCGGCTGCGCGCGGATGCGGAGCGCGAAGATATGATAACCGCACCAGGGGAAACAACCCTCTTGTTCGCGCACCCGCCCGCCCCCGAGAGCGGCGCGGCTCCGTTGGCGACGAGCCGACATGTGTTTCCTGGAATTAGACATCCAGCGGGTCAGTCTTCCATCTTATTTTTCGTTTCGCTTCACCTGGGTTTTGGTTTGGTTTTCGGTTTGTGAGCTTTTTTGTGCTTGCGTTTTGCGAGTTTGGGGCCGTTGGGGCCTTGGGGATCTTTTGCGTTCCGATGGGCGTCTGGGGTGCTTGTTGTGGTGCATCCCGGTGGTAGGCCCGCGCATGCGCGCGACGTACGTGCCTTTTCGTGCAACGCGCATATACACCCATACACCCTTCTGCCGCCTTTGTCTTTTTCTCTGGACGCTCCTCCCCTATTTCTCCTTCCTTTTCTTACTTTTTATTTTATTTTCTTCCAAGCATACGCATTCATTCGCTTTCCATCCCGGGCCCAAATTGCGCCGAGCTTCATTTCTTTACCCGGCTTTTATTCATTTCCTCACGCAACCGGCGGCGGCCTCACGCACCCGCCGCGGGGGGGAGGGATGGCGTGCTCGGCCTCAGTCAGGGGCGGGCTCGCAAGCGTTGGAGTTTCGGTAGGGGATTTGGACGTGCGAAGGGGATGGATTCATTCACTTTCTACCCCGCGCCCGACTCGCGCCGAGCTTCGTTTTTACCTTTCGGACATCATCTAGCCACCTTTCGTCCCTCTGTTTCTTCACTTCCCCGGCACGCATACTCCCTTGCACCCAGCTTGCCTACGGACGGTGTGGGGGTTCTGGCTGGTGGTTTGGACAAGGAGACGAGGGAGCTCGAGCGTGTATCTAGTCGAAGCAGTCGGCGCGGACGCGATGATGGGGGCCTGGGGCGACACGACTCGAATGCGGAATGCGGCGAGGGGAGTGTTGTGCGTTGCGCGAGGGGTGGAACTTGGACGCATCGAGGAGGGCGGTGCGCGGCTGGCGGAAGACGCCGCAGTGGTGTCTGCATTCTGAATCCCAGAGGAAAACGGGGACGCGGGAATAAAGTGTAGTTGTCGCAGTGGGAAGCACGCGTGTCGGCCCGGAAGGGAGGGCGGGAGGACGCGACTGCGGGGTACTCGGTGGGACGCGGGGTACTCGGTGGGACGCGGAACGCGCGCATGCCGGTGGAGATGCCAGTCTACTCCGACGGAGTTGCGCTTTACGCTTTCCGGCGGCTGTGCTTCCCTTATTTTTATCTTTTATTTATCCTTCCTTCTTCACGTCCCGAATCTACACGCCGCGCACGTTCGCGTATGTCCATGGGATGCGTTTCCTTTTCCCCTTTTCCTTGATTTTTGATTTTAATTTTCGCATTCGCATTGTCACATATATTTCTATTCCCATCTTCTAATTGCTTTTTGTTTCGTTCTTTATTTTGCGTGGATATACATATACGTGTGCGGACGCTGCGTTTTTTGCCTCCTTCCTTCGTCTTCCTCTTTCCATTTCTACCCGCACGTTTACCCTTTCCATTTCTACCCGCACGTTTACCCTTTCCTTTTCCTTCCTACCCTTTCTTTCACTTCTATCTTCGCATTCCTGTGCTGTCTTTCTGTCTCGTCTTCCTTGCATTCATTGCGCAAACAGACAGCGGTACCGGTGGCATTGTCGCGCCCCTGTTTAAGCGCCGATCCATCCATCCAGCGCACGCGCGGGGATCTTTACCCTGCCTACTCGCTCTCCACTTTTGTCTTGCTTCCCCTCCCTCCTTTCATAACACAATCTAAGCTAACGATTCTTCGGCACACAGGCACTCTAACGCTCTCCGCAGCCTACCTCACCACGCCGACCTTCTCACTCGAGTAACTCGAGGCGCTGTTGTCGTCAAGGTTTGCGGTGTCGGATACCACGAGCGCGAGTAGTGTGAGGCAGGGCGCTTGGATCTGGGGAGCGGGACCGGGAGCAGCAATACGCCTCGAGCTCGAGCTCGAATCAGCAAGGCCGGTACACCGAGAACGCCAGCCAGCAAGCCCAGCCAGGAGAACCCCGAGCGCTGAGCCCGCGTGGCGGCCGCTGCTGCCACTGCCACTGCCACTTGGTGGCGGGAGCGGGAGCCGGAATAGTTTGGGGCCACATTTTGCTGTCGCCGCGTATTCGTGTGCTAAATATTACTTATTTCACCACGCATCGACAGGCAAGTTACATTGGGTGGGGCCTCGTATCGTCGGCGCGGGATCTTTGTCGCTCAACACTGTTGCATCAATGTTGCATAGGCCGCAACGGCAACTGCATATAAACTCCACATCTTCTTCTGACATGTTCCACAACACCCCACATAGAACTCCTGCGAAAAGCCGAAGACCTATGTATTTGCACTTACTTCCAAGCCTCAGAGTGCGGTTGTTCTTGGCCAATATTAATGCTATTTCTCTTCTGTTTGGCAGCCACATCTAGCAGTATCCTCAACCTCGCCGTTTTGCATGCATCAATTGCTTACTGGAATCAGACATCAAGCGCGGTGCTTCTACCTTTGACCGTTTATCCGCGGTCATGTCTAACTTGTCTTTACATTTATGTCTAATTCTTCTCCCGCCTGACAGGATCTACTGCCGCTGCCGTTGCAAAGTTATGGAGGGTTGTGGACAAAATGGCTCTGGATCCGAGTCTTCGAAACTGCAACGCGTGTTCGCTCTTCGCCCGGCCCAGCGAAATTAATGTTCCA